TCTATACACAAATGCATCGATAGATTGATATATATATATACATATATATATATATATATATATATACATACGCATATATTATATATAGACAAGTGCTATGCAAATGAGGCCCAGCAAAATAAAATATAGCTCCTTCATTTTTGTCAGAGCGCGATTGTGCGTTGCATGCTCTCTCGTAATTATTAAATAAATTATAATAAAATAATAATATTCTTTATTATGGATTGTTTATTCTATTCAATATGGCACTGTTCTCGTGCAGATAGCTACAGATAGCTACAGGTACAGCTAGCTACGATGACTAGTACAGCTAGCTACAGCTAGCTGCAGCTAGCTACGGTTAGCCGCAGGAAGGGGACCGAATAAGAGACAGCACCGGCATCAGATGCATTTGCTGCATATATCAGTATTTCTAATAGCATTTTCATACGCCAGAGCAGACACAACCGATGGATTTGCGAATAAAACGAAGAGATTTATCTGTGAAGAATGAAGCAGAGTCAGTGCGGTGTACGTCCACCTAATGCACACAAGTTTTGCACGTAAATGTAGATACATTTATTTAGATAAGTATTCACATATATATGCATTTATGTTTATATGTAGATTTTTCAATGACATGCGACAGTCGTAGCTAGCAAGTTCGATAGCTAGTTGGCTAGCTAACTAGCTATCGAATTTTCTAGCTAGCTGGCTAGCCAGCTGTACGGTGCTTAGCCGGCTGCTTGGTAGAGCAAACGAAGTCCTTTCTGCTGCTGCTCACCTGTAGACCTTGTGGGGAAATAAAATAAATAACTAACTAATGATATATTTCAATTTATTCTGAGCTGAGTTTGTTGTAGGGGCTTCTTCTGCTGCTGCATGCAGGCAGTTGCAATGGCTGCTGCTTCTCCTCGCAATTTGCATCTTGTAGGCTTCTTATGCTCTTGCAGAACAGAAGAGTGTGTGAGGCTGTTGATAGACAAAACAAGTAATGAGAAGCTGCATTTATTATATTTAAAAAGACTCTACTTTAATTAAGCAGGTTGAAACCTGCAGGTTTAATGAATACAGCAGACGATGGACGTACTTCTTCCCCTGTGAATAAACAAGAAATGGTTAAGTAGATAACTTTTAAATAAAACAAATAAGTAAACAAATGGATACATGTGTGAGTGAAGGAAGTACTAATTCATTAAAAGATGAGTAAAAGAGTGCTTAAATGCGTGATTAGATAATGTATTGAACAAGAAGTAGATGCATTTATTTCTTGTCTCCTTTTATTACGGGCCTCTTCAGCTTGAGGCGTTGCTCGTTCGCTCTGTTGCGAAAACTTCAATCTTTCGTCTGGTTTTTGCATTAAAGTAAATTGAAAGGCGGCTTCAATTCAGCTTATTTTTGATGAGAGCTCTGTTGCAACTTGAACGGAAACCTGCAGAAAATGTTCAGCTCATACTGGGGAGAATAATGCTCATCATAAGGCAAGCGACCCTTCGCTCCTATACAACTAAAATAAACCAATTAATTAAGGTGAAGAAAGAGGGGGAAATAAGGAAAAATATTTATTCTTTAGCGGCACAGGCGGAAGGCGCCTGAAGCCGGTGGCGCTGCTAGCGAAGTGCTTGAAACGAGGATGTCTGACGGCTCTTTTTGAGGTGAAAAGAAATGCGAGTTTTGTTCAATAGAGGACGGATGCTATATTTTACTAAATAATCCATAAAAACGGCAAAAAAATAAACAATCGATCGGTACCCGCTAGCCTGGCTCCGCAAGGACCAGGCTGGACGTACACCGGGATCAAGGCGGCAGCGCCTACGTTGAAGGCTGTGGAGTAGCAATTGCTTTCGGATTAAAAAGAAGAAAGACAGATTTATATTTATCATACTATATTATATTAGATTTTCAAAGCCGGCGACTCGATCGCGGTATACAGTCGTCGGCTGTATGCGCAGTCGCATGCTGGAGCCTCACGACCACCGGACTCCGTGTGGCTGAGGCGTTTGTTTTCGCTTTATTTCCTTGCAATGCATGCACCCTGAGCTCACAAAGTGTTCTTTTTAGCTTTGTTTTCTTGGATATGTGACTCAGGCTTCAAATGCAGCGCAGATTCCCCTCTCCTGCTTATCTCGAGTCCTCCGCTGCACTCCCCGTGCGTGCATGCAATGAACGCGTAGCTCCCGTTTCTTCTCACACAACCCTTTAGCCATTTGCCTCCTTCTCTCTTACAAGATGGAGGCAAAGGCTGTGGGTAAGAAGGCTGGGGCCCCCAGCCCGAAGCCGAAGCTGGCTCGTAAGTATTCCGAAGTTCAACTTGGTGATTATCTCATTGGTTCCCAAGTGTGGGTTCGCGATAAGGATAAGGAGGAGCTGTACACCCTGGCTAAAGTAACAGCTATTTCAGGGACGACTTTAACTGTGGAGGTCGATGGAGGCGTTACGAAAACCGTTCAACAAGATGAATGCCTAAATGCAAATGTAGGCATCACACCGGAAAGCTGCAATGATCTCTCCAAGCTGCCGCATGCAAACGAAGCAGCGGCTCTGCAAATAATAAGGGAGAGATATCTCAGAGATATTATTTATGTAAGTCTTCGCTTCCCAACCTCTCCTTTCACAATCAAAGGGGTTTGCGTTTCAATAAAGTATTTAATCTGCATTTTCTTCTCATGCTTCTCCCTAATCTCTTTCTCTCTCCCTCTCTCTACATATATATAAAAATATATGTGTATATATTTATTTATTTAATTATATATCGCTATTTCTCTCCCTCTCTTACTGTTTCATTCACTTTCCCTCTCTTAGTCTCTTTCTTCTTGTGATATACTTGCGTTTGTTGTTATATATACATATATATACATATATATTATTATACATATATATATATATATTATATGTGTGCATGTGTATGCGTGTATGTGTATATGTACAGACATACGCAGGCCGTTTGTTAATAGCGATGAACCCATTTAAAGCAATACCTGGTTTATATGAGCCTTCAACAATAACTCGTTATCAGAATGCAGATACATCTCGAGGCTTTCCTACAGATTTACCTCCACATACATATGCTGTAGCTCAGTGTGCAATGGATATGATGCGAATTTCTAAAGAAAATCAATCTTGTATTGTCTCTGGGGAATCGGGAGCAGGGAAGACAGAGACAGCAAGACAATTAATGCAATACTTTGCTAGCGATAAAGCAGGGGCAGGGGGTTCACAGGTTCAAGATATTATTCTTGGAGCAAACCCTGTCTTAGAAGCTGTCGGGAATGCAAAGTAAGATTCGAACTTCTATAACAATCATTATTCAACATAATATATATATATATATATATGTATATATAGATGCATATATATATATATATATGTAGAATAATGCCTATAACAATTATTGTTTAGTATACTTGTTGTATTAATTGCTATAAGGATCAATATTAAGCAAACTTGCTATCCTAATCATAAGAAGAGGGATTGCAATATTAATTATAATATTACCTACTAATATTTCTTATAGGAGGTGTACTAGTACTAGTAGTGCTACTAACGCCAATACTAATACTAATACTAATACTAATACTAATACTAATACTAATACTAATACTAATACTAATACTAATAATAATATAATGCGAATGCTAGTAGTAATACTAATACTATTGTTAATACTTAACCGAATACTAATACGAATACGAATACTAATGATAATAATAATATGAATTTCACTACAATTGCGAATAACCATAACAATCATATGAATAACAAGAAGAATATCGACAGTAATAATAATAAATAAATAATAATAATAATAATAATAATAATGATAATATTACCTCGTTTTTTCTTTGTGTAGGATAGCATGTGTTAGTAGTCTAAATGATTTGAATATCTTTGATTTCTTTTTCTTTGCGTTTGGCTGCACAGAACATTAAGAAATAATAATTCTTCTCGCTTCGGTCGGTTTGTTAAACTCGATGTAGCACCAACAGGAGGTATTCACGGAGGCTTGATAAACAATTATATGTTGGAGTTATCTCGTATTGAATTTCAAGCAGAAGGTGAACGCAATTATCATATTTTCTATCAAATGATTAAGGGCCTTTCCCCAGAACAGAAGACCCTCTGTGCACTCAAGAATGCAGAACAATACGATTTCCTCAATAAAAGCGGATGCTATGAAGTTGAAACAGTTAATGATTTAAAGGAATTCGCTGACGTTCGAAAACAACTCGAGTGCGTACACAAACTAATAGCAGCAGCAGCAGCAGCAGCAGCAGCAGCAGAGCAAAACTTGAACCAGCAGCTTTTCAAGGGATTTTTTCGTGCAGCAGTTACGCTGAGCAGCAAGCTACAGCTCTTGCTGCTGCTGTTGCTGCTGCAGGGAGGTGAAGCAGCAACGATCAGGCTGCTTTAATGTGCATGCGGTGTAGCTACAGATGTCGTTCTATCTGTTTTTGTTTGTTTGCTTTCTTTTGTTTGCAGTCTCTTGTTTTCTAAAGAAGAACAACTCGCTTACTTCCAGGCCCTCTCTGCTGTGCTGCTATGCGGGAATATCAAATTCGTCAATGTACAGGCAATGGGCACAGACAAGTGAGTAGAAAATAAATAAATAAATAAATAAATAAATAAATAAATAAATATCTTGCTTTCTTTGGTTCTAGCTGGCGCGCAGAAGAATAATTCATATTTTGTAAATATGTTAAAAGACGAGAGAGAGGAGATGCTTCTTATTGTCGCTGCATGCAAGCATATTTATTTGAATAAAGATTCACAAACAAAGACAGCAGCAGTTTGTTTGCATTTATTGTTGCTGCTTAATGTTTAAGGGTTTATTGTCTGGCGCTGTGCAGGTGCATTGGTTGGTGAAGTCGTGCATGAATCATTTATGTATATATATGTATAATCTTTCATTCTTTTTGCTTGTTTGAATTTCAATTTTGAATAATTATTATTTTTGTGTTCATACTTCAATTGTCTTATCATGCAGAGCGGCGAAGCTGCAGAACGAAGCTGACTTTGATCAAATAGCTTCTCTCCTAGGCGCCAGCAAAAATGAAATGTTGGAGGTAAAGAAGTTAAATACAGCAGAAATGCTGAATAACACTAACAAAGAGAATCAATAAATAAAACAAACTCTAATAAAACAAAATAGAGGCTGCAAAACGCAAAGAAAATGTTGAATAAGCGGATAGAAGTTGAATAAAAACGGAGGACAAATTCAAAAAGAAATCAAAGACGAACATGAACACACAAGGAAGTCTAATAATAATAATAATTATTATTATTATTATTATAGTGCAGAACAAATTCAAATAAAAAGTAGAAGACGAAGCGAAATGAGTGTAGAAGTGTTGCATACACTCATAATAAATTGAATACTTGGCGAAGCAAATTGAATAAATAGGGAGAATTTGTATTAATCTTCAGTTAGAGATAAATTTATATAAAAATGAATTCAATTGAGCCTAAAACGGCGATTAAACAGCTCGAAAAGTTGAATAAATTTCTGCTTTTTTGAATTTTTGTTTCTGGTGAATAGCTGCCTATACACCTGAAGTGGTGATTGGATAATTTTTGCGTTTTGTTCTGCAGGCCATAACTGTAAACACAGTGGAAGTTCGAGGAAATATAATTAAAAGCCCTCTTTCTGCTGATCAAGCTCTAGTTATGTGCAGATCTATGGCCAAAGAAGTTTATAGTGTTCTTTTCGATTTCATCGTCGAATCTTTTAACGAAAAAATTTCCTTCGATCATGAAAACAAAGTCTGGATTGGAGTAAGGAATTATCAGCGCTGTTCTTATTACTCTTATTATTGTTATTGCTATTATTCTTAATTCTTAGTGTCATTGTTATTCTCATTCTTACTCTTAGTTTTTATTGTTATTGTTATTCTCAATTCTTATTCTTAATTCTTATTCTTATTCTTATCCCTACTCTCATTAGTGTTGTGGTTGTTAGCACCCTCGTTATTCTTCACGTTCTTTGTTTGCTCCTTGTTGCTCTTCTCGTTGTTATTTTTCCTCTCTTGTTTTTCTTGTTGTTTTACACAATCCAGTAAACCCTCTGCGTATCAACTGGCTTCTTCTCAACGAAGAAGAGTTTTCTTTTTTATAATTAATAAGACTGTTATCCTTCTTGACAGTAGCAGGAGCGAATGCCTTCTTTCCTTTTCTTGTTTTCTTTCTCTTCCTCTTCATTTTCTTCTTTCTTTTTCTTCGTTTTCTTTTTCTTCTTTTTCTTCTTCTTTCTCGTCTTCGTCTTTTTCTCAGCGAGAAGCAAGGGCATTATTTTTTTTGCGTTTTGTTTTGCGTTTGATTTGCATAGATTTTGGATATCTACGGCTTTGAATTCTTCGAAAAGAACAGCTACGAGCAGTTTTTGATTAACTACGCCAATGAACGGCTGCAGCAATTTTTTATTCAACAAGTCTTTCAAGCTGAGGTAAGAAGGAAGGAAAAAAGAGAGTCAATATAACCTCTATATAGAAATACTCTTTGAATATAATCATTTTGTATACGAATACAAATATAAATTTGATAGAAAGAAAATATTATTAAAGAGTTTAATTCTTTATTCTAGTGTATATACTATTGTATATCTGTATTTTATATTTCATTGTCTTTCCTCTTCTTTATTCCTACTTCTGTTTACTTTGCTTTTTGTGTTTTTCATTATTCTTCACACTTCTTTTTTCTTTTATATTATTCTATTTTCTTTTTCTTTCTCATGCGAAGCTACATACACCCGAAGTTTTGTTGTGACCAATTTCTTTTGATTAATTTCTGTTGGTGTAGGAAGAAGCATTTTGTCTTGATTATTGTCTTCTGTTTATGTTTATTATGTTTATGCATTAGAAAGCAGAATATGAAGCTGAAGGCATCGACCACTCGATGATTGTTTACTCCGATAATGCAGCAGTGCTCGAAGTCTTTGATAAACCAAAGGCAGGAATTTTCGCGTTCTTAGAAGAACAATGCTTGTTGCAAACAGGTAAAAAATAATGTCTTTTGTACTGACGATGATGATATTGCTGCTTCTTTTCGTTTTCTTCTTCTTTTGTTTGTTTCTCTCATGCTTCTATTCGTCGTTCTGGTGTTTGTTGTATTTATTCACATATTTTAATAATAAATATACATAAATAAATGCATAAATATTATATATTATTCATAGACAGCATGATTATGTTGCTCATATATAATATATAACATGTATTATATATATATATGCATGCATACAAATAGTACGTATTTATCTATATCTATATCTATCAAAATATATAATATATATATATATATGTATATCAATCTAAATATATATATATATATATGCATGTATCCATATATATATATATATATATATATATTTATGCATGCAGGGACGAGTGAATCTTTCACTGCTGCTTGTCACAAAAACATAAAGAGCGAAAACTACGAAGTGCCGAAGGGCGACGCGCGTTTGACTTTTCGCGTTTATCACACCGCAGCCCCCGTCCTCTACAACACCACTGAGTTTGTTCCCAAGAATAAAATGAGGTAAATCATTCAATATATATATATATATATTATACATATGTTTATTCATTATATATATGCATATGTGTGCGGATATATGTATATATTCACCTACATATATATTTATATATTCACCCATATACATATGGATATATATATGCATTTTTACATATATATTATATGCACATATATATATGTTTATTTACTTATTGCCTACAATATATATATATATATA